GATTTATAAGTTTTTGAAAATCAAAATCTAAAACTTAAAATCTCAACATACTAAATGGATTTTTAGTTTTTGCATAATATAAAATAATACAAGTTTAAAATTCAAATTTTTGATTAATCACCTTTGTGAATCAATTTTAGTTTTTTTTTTTTTTTTTGTTTTCAAAGAATGGTTAGCTTTTTATCACTCAAAAATAAAAAAATCCTCACGGAAAAAGGTAAATACATATAAGGTATATGCAAAGGCAATAAGCTAATTAATTATAAATTCAAACTTTGTGCAAAATAACAATTAAATCTTCCTAAAATTTATAATTCACGTGCCAAATTCTGAAAGTGAATAGAGAAAAATCAGAAAAGGTAAAAGAAAGAAAAAGGAAAAATATTATGAAAGATAAATTTTATAGAAAAATTTTTTTAGCCCCCAAATATTTTGCTCAAGCTCCATCACTGATTACATACACACCATTTAATTGGTTCGTCTAGACAGATTTAAAATATTAACGTACACCGAATTTGATATTTCTATATAATTAAATTCTAGGGCCTTGGCGTGGAGCAGAGTCGGTGAGCTAAGGATTCATGCATTTTTGACTCATATCTCCATTCGCAGGAACACCGATGCTTCGTATAAACATTTTATGTTCAAATTCAATGTAAACCAAGGCAAAGTAGCTTCCATGCATACAGACAAAGAGACAAATCCAGCATTTGAATCTCACAGTTTGTGTGTGTGTGTGTATATATATATATATATATTGAATTAATTATCAATCTCTACACATATTGAGATGCATCGGAGCTTTCTGCATATCAATAAAAAAAAAAAACAAGAGAATTTATTGAGAAGTGAGATCGTTGATATCTTGTTTGAATGTCTTGCTAAAAGAATTGTATTAGCATGTGCATTGATGCACCATAGCTTTTGGATATTAATATTGCTGATTTCGTGGTCTATTGGGTACATCATACATGCATTATAAACTGATGTTTCATAAAACCATGTGACACTTGAACAAAAGAAACAAAAAAAAGAAAAAAAATTGTACCACATATATATCTTAGGTTAAATGCTTAATTTGGTCCCTTAACTTTAAGAAATAAACATTTTTGGTCCCTCAACAATTTTTTGCACTTTTTTGATCCCTCAACTATACAAAATGCACTCCGTTAATCCTTCTGTTAATTTGGGCCATTAACCCTACTTAGGTGGCATTTTTTATATTTTTTTTTATGATGTGGAGAGCAAAACTTAAAAAAGTGATGACATGTGCCATGTCACATGCTACCTGGCAAAATCGTGCCAAATACATTCAAATGGGTCCCACATCACCATCTTTGCCCATCGGTTACTGTTTTTCTTCCTTCCATGTTCGACAAAACCCAGATCTAGGTTCGATGTAACCCAGCAAATAGGTTCGATGTAACCCAACAAATAGGTTCCATCAAACCAAGCTCGATTCATTGAACTCAATTGCTCAAAAATTCCTCACAACAACCTGCAATTGCCCAAAAATCCCTCAAAAACAACAACCTGCAATTGCCCAAAAATCCCTCAAAAACAACAACCTGCAATTGCCCAAAAATCCACAACAACCTGCAATTTGAATAATCTGGCAAACAATCATATAACAAAAACAAAAAACCAGTT